AAAACGACTTAGAAAATAAACCAGGGTTGAAAAGGGCATTTTTTGAAAAGACACACTGATAAATAATGATTAGCGAGATTTCCTTAAATTTTTAAAGTTTTCTTTTAAAAATTCAACTTTATAATATTTTCAATGCCGTATTCTTTAAAAAAATCTATTCCTTTACTGGAAACAAATTGTTTTTTCTTTAAATTTGAAAAAAATTGAAAAAAAAATATTTTTTTCCTATAAATTTAAGCCTAGATTTGTGCGCTTTCGTGATTTAAAACTGATTTTTAGATTATTTTCATTTTTCGACCTGGAAAACTTGAAAATTAGTTTTTTCCGCGATTTTTTTGCAAAAATCTATTTAAAATTACAAAACATTTTATTCTTTGTCGATTTTCGCCAGTTTTCATCGAACTTCAGCCAGAAAATCGCTGATTTTGTTCTGAAAATAGACTGAAATTCGCTACGTTGAAAAAATCATGAAAGGCGCACAGTCGGTCAAACTCCTTGGGTTCCTGCCACGAAGAAAAGTTTTTACTGTAGAACTTTTCTTTTTTTTTATGAAAAAGTGATGTTTTTCGCTGAAAACGGGAAATTTTCATGTAATTCTGTGTATAATAAATTTTTCGCAATTTTCGATGCTATTCTTTCCCATTTTTCTCTGGAAATAAACAATATTTTTCAGTGTTTTCCTTCCCTTTCTTCTCCCAACAAATCCCCCGGAAAAAGTGTGCGGCGCGCTTGCAAAGAGGCGGCGCGTCGCCTCCTAGACTCCGCCCACCGCCGTTCGTCTCTGTGGTCATCGGATGCGTGTTTTCTCGCTCCAGAAGCCGATCGATTCCATTGTTCTGTATAGAAATTTGAAAAAATTATATTCTGCAATAAAATATTCATTCTGTTACCTATATTCCTGTAATCTGTAATGCGAAATGTCTGTAAAAATCTTCATCGCGTTCACCATTGTATCGATCAGCTCGATGTTTCCGAATAATGCGTTTATGAACGCTCATGAGGTGATTTCCAGTTAAAAAATTGGATTTTTTCAGGCGAAAATATCGAAAAATTGAAATTTTTGAGAAAAATTTCATAAAAAGTGGATTTTGTCTGAAATGCTTAAAAAGCAGATATTTTAACAGTTTTCACCAATCAAAAGGCTTAAAATCCGTATTTTTTGAAAAAAAAACATTTCGCAACACAAAAAAATCTCAAAAAAAAAAAGAATTTTTCCGATAACATCAACACCAGATGACACACACACACACACACACACACACACACACACACACACAGATACAGAGAAAAATGAGTCATTCTGTTGAGACAAAAAGCGAAATTCCGACAAAAAAACGTTTTTTCTCTCATTTTCTAGCTAATTTTCCAGTATTTCTACTACAAATTGCGAAATGTCACACACGACGAGGATCCGACGAACACCACTAGCACATGGTTTATTAAGCGACAAAGTTGGTGTTTTTAAAGAAGAAAATATGTCAAATTTTCAAAATTTTTAAAGCGAAAAAATATTGATTTTCTGGCGATTTCTGGCATTTTCAGTTTAAAAAATCGTTAGAAATCCGGTTTTTTTTGGTCTTGAATATGTCGAATTTTCAAAATTCTCGCAAAACTAACGGAAATTTGTGGAAAATTGAATTTTTCGCGAATTTTGCGATTTTTTCGCGAATTCTTAACATTTTTAGTTAGAAAAATCGCTGAAAATCCAGCTTTTATCGGCCGGAGGGTATTCAAATTTTCAAATTTCCGCCAATTTTTAGCGAAAATTTGAAAAAATTTGAAAGAATTTGAGCGATTTCTGGGGATTTTTGGAGGAGAAGACTCAAAAAAAAATTCGGGCAAAAACTGGAAATTTTTTGCCTATAATCGTAAACAAAAAACAAAACAAATATTGAAAAAAACATTTCAGCCAAAAATTTGCAATTTTCACTGATTTTCGCCGATTTCAGCACTTTTCTGGCTGAAAATTTTAAAATTATAGGCTTAGGCAAAAACGCCTTGTTTCTCTTCCTCTGGGACACCCGCATTTTGGCTCCAAATTCAAAAAATTTGGGTCCCCCCCCCCCAGCTAAGGTAGCGCCAAAATTAGAATTTCAGCGATTTCTCGGGATTTTTTGAGGAGAAATCTAGAATTTTGAGTTTTATCGAATTTTAGCCATTTTTAGAGAGAAAATCGGAAAAATCAGGCAGAAATTTTTAAATTTTTGAGACAATTTTTTTACAATTTTCTGCCGATTTTTCATTTTTTTTAAAGACGAAAAAATCGAATTTTAGGTGTAGAAATACCCAAAAAAATTGCTAAAATCACAAAAAAATCATTTGCAGTCCGCGAAGAGGCTCCAACCGAACTGCAGGCGAATTTCGAGGCGTATCTAACCGTGTACGGCTCCATCGCATGCGTTTTAGGCTCGATTCTGAACGTTTTCGCGACGAAAAGCTTGTCTAACTCGACTCGAATGGTATGGGGACACTTGTTGGTCGTCGTTGTCTTCATTCCGACAATTGCGTTGACTTTTATCAATTTCGATGATGATCAATCGTTTTTCTTCAATTTATCCATGGGACTGATATCGATTGCGTGCTTCGGATCACTGGGAATGATGGCTGGCGGTGTGCTGGGATTGTCTGCGTTGTTTCCGTCGAAATATGTAAGGGTGAATGAAAATTAGCTCAAAAAACGAAAATTTCGGTGTGAATATGGCTAAAATTGCTCCAAATTTGACAAAAAAAATCGCTCGAAAATTCTAGAAAGTTCTCGTTATAAAAACGATAAAAATCTTCGTAAAAATGGTGATAACATTTGAATTTTCTAGGCCACCAACTTTTATGGCCGAAAATGTGTTTTCTAGGCCATTTTAACACCGTGGCCTAACTTTCGCATTTTTGAATTTTTTAGGCCACCATGGCTGATGGCCTCGAAACAGCCGGATATTCATCTGGTGAGCTTTCTAGACGGTTTGACATTGTGGCCTAACTTTTGAATTTTCTAGGCCACCACCTAATTTTGGCCTAACATGACCCTGGTATGATTTCTAGCCATTTGGAAGTGGCGGCCAGTGTGACGATGAGGACGACAGAGATGGTGGTTAGATCGATGGCAGACTAAAAAATGAGGCTAGAGTTTTCTAGGCCACGGCCACTTTAAAGGTGAGCTCATTTTTTGAAT